AGGTTAGGCACCCAAGGAGGTCGACCACCCCTCCTCAAAGAGTACGTTAAGCTTCTGGTGGTCTGCCTGAAGATGACATCAGTTCTCCCAAAAATCTTACARGCRAAAATGRCGGDBATRTCCCTAACGTAAGCCTGCCAAGCGTAGGCAAGGCTAAGCCTGTGCTGAACCGTAACATGCTGGCAAGGCAGCAAGTAATCAGCGCTCTAACGTGTATATTACCATTCACTCTCAATGCCCGAAAGTCGTACAGGTTACAGCACAAAAGGTGTGAAGTTTATATTTTATTTTCAAACCAATCAGTGATACAGACATGGGATGGGAGATAATGATACACAATGTGAAGCTCATTGGGTCACAAGCATGGTCCTGCTGCTAAAGGTTCAGCAATGCAAAACACGGTGCTGAGGTATTGATTGTATATGGCCCACTCAAATACTCAATTATAGCCCTACTGCAGTACATGACAGTATAATACAAGAACCAACACGCCAAACCAGAAGACCACACTAGTCATGGGATACAAAAATCATTTTCAAATATAACAACAAAAAATGGGACATGACTGTTAGTTTGCTGAATTCACAGAGCACGCCCCAGTGCCCGGAATATTTTCAGCGGATTAGAGTATATAAGTGTACAACAGTGACAACGTAAAGATCTTTTTGTCATCCCCTCCCCCTCTTAATGACGAATTGACAGTCTTAAGCATGGATTTCAAACAGCAGTTGCTTACTAAATACTTGGGTCTCCCAATGGTGTCGTGTGAAACACCCTCCGAGCCAACAACAGTAAAAACAGGAATTAGGCTACGAGCTAGATGAAGCGTTCAGGGCCATCACCTTGCATTGTTCATTCATAGCCAACAGTTGGGCCTCTTTCTTGTCAAGAAGAGCACTCAACCTAACGTTCTCTTCCATCAGTTTCTGGACTTCAGCCTCCTTCCGCATCTTTTCACCCTCCAAGTGATTGGTCTTGGCAACTAGCCTGCTTCCACAAAAACCACATAGCCACGAGAGCATCTTTTAAAGAGGACGAGGATGGAGGTATTAAAATATTGCCACAGAGAAGGAAAGATGAAAATAAGTACAAATTTCTGCACGTACAAGTAACTTACATTTTCATTCAACAGTAGCACAACCAAAAGAGTTAAAAAATAGAGTAACCAACAATTAGCCACGACTCTTTTTAAGTCTCTCATTGAACTAAAAACACCAAAGTCTTAAACAAAACTCAGGGAATTTGGATTCCGGTTAACCTGCAGGAGTCAAGATTGATTTGCGTTTCAGTATACCACTTGTTCCCAAGGTCCCTAGATGACTACAAGTGAGTGATCTTTTCAGTATACCCAGGGAAAAACACCTCTAATCCTAATCTCTCTCTCTCTCTTTCTCTCTCTGTAGCTACCATTTATCTCTAGATGAAGATTCAGTTCTACTAACAAAGTAACAATAACACCCCTTGTTTCGAAGGCCCCTAGATGTATTACAAGTGAATGATCTTTTCAGTATACCCAGGGTCAGAATGCCTCCAATCCAATGGGTCTCCTAGTCAGTTTTATTTTAGTTGCCAGGAAAATCATACAATTTATTGTCTGCACTCAAGCATAACATTTATTTCCTGGTGGATGCAGAGGGTTACTCGTCAAAGGATGATTTGGATAAGCCGCATCACCTATTCATGTGGAATGTGGTAGCACAGCAGTAGGATGAATGGTCTATTGTAGCTGGACAAATATGTTGAAGCTGGTGACACACATGAACAAGGAGGAAGAGGCTGCAGCAAGCCTCAGATTATTTACAAAAATGGTGCATATGATAAAAGAAGAAAACAAAGGTATTACACATTGTTCGGATGGTGGCAAACATAGCAATGGCAGAGGCAATGGATGAGATGTAGCGGATGGGATGAAGATCAAGACTTCATTACTACACAAGGCACCAACCATGGTCCTAGATCCCATTCACATTAAAGAGATTATCCAAAGCGCTTAATTAGGAAATGCCAAATGGCTATCATGAGACTGTAGACCCCTGCATTAACAAGATGGGTTATGACACTGAGGCTTGCTGGTACTAGACAAAGGCTCAGTTTATTTAACTGCAAACCTCTTCTCGAATAGGTTTGTTGCATAAAAGTATCATGAATGCTAGATATTAAGTCCACACACTGGTACCATGTATTGTACCATTGGATTTTTTTTCACTTTATTGTTCCAATAAGGGTTTTTTTTGTGGTTTTTTATGTTTTTATGCCCCTCTCTTTTTTGGTTTAGTTTTCCAGCCAATATAAAAAAAAACTGCCAGCCTATTAAAATTACACTTGGCCAAGTTCAATACATCAATGGATATCAGACATAGAGTCATGCATCATAATAAGCACTGTGACATATAGAAGAGAAGTTAAATAAAAATATGAGAAGTATTCAATCAAAATTAGTGCTTATTTATAACAAAAAACAGAAAAGAAACACTTATTTGTCATCGCTAAAGCTCTATAACTATCTAAGGTTGGTCATAAAGGAAGCGTGTAAATACTAGATGCAGAATAAGTAAAGCCTAAATAATGAATGATATGAAACAATCAATCCCCCTCACTGGGAAAATCATATATAAGAATTAATATAAACAGGTAAATGGAGATGGACACACCTCTCAAAAAGCCTCTCAATTGTTTGGAATTGCTTCTCTGATGAAAGAAGTGTTTCCCTTACACTGATGAGACTACTGACATAAGATTTTAGTGATTCAAAGTCCTGTTTCACACGACAAAGTTCCTGCTCATTTTCTGCAGCTCGTTGCCTTTGTCTAGATGTTTCTTGCACCATATCTTCTACCTTCTGCCGCATCTCATTCAGAATACAGTTTGTTCCGAGTGCAAACCTTTCCATCTCTTCTACTTTTGCTGACATGCTTTCAATCTGAAGTGCCTTCTTTTTAATTTCTTCCTGACCTAAAGTCACCTTTTCTTTCTCAATAGCCATTTCAGTTTCTGCCATAATAACCCTTTTAACAAGAACTTCCATCACATCTGTTACCATTTGTACAGACTTAAGTATCTCACCAATATAAACCCCATCATGTTCATCAAATGATCCTTGCCTGCTACCAATTTTTATCCATGTTTCTTCATCTGGGCAGTCAAAAGAAGAAAGATCAACATCCTTGGACCAGTCAGCTAACGGTATCCCATTTTTGTCAACAAGCCCCATGCCTTCTTGATATCTAATACCACATGAAGTGTGGGCTAAATGTGGAACAGCCATAATTCTAGCCTTCGATTTCAAGTATGTAAGTAATGTAGCAGTAGTTTTTACTCTTCTCCAAAGAACTTCTAATTCTTTCTTTGCATCTTCTCCAGAGTCTTGGATAGAAGCCTTTATCTCCATAAATTTTGCTTGCAATGCATCCACCTGAGACTGGTGTTGCTCCATTCCCTGCTTCCACATAATGTTGGAATCACTTAGCTGAAATTTCAGGGTTGAAAAGTTCATATCTTCCTCCATCTCTGCTGACACAACCACCCTTTAATTCTCAGGAACTATATTAGAGATGCAAACCTGCAGCATAGGAACCAAAATGAAACCAGTAGTCAAGATACGTATAAAGAGATAATATGTACACAAAAGGAATTGAGAAGGCAATATTTTCCTTGAGGTAAAAATGGGTGATACCTTTGTGTAATATTCTAAATTAAAACTTGTTAAGAAGCATACAAGGTGTGGAAAGATCCCCTGAACCACTCTTGTGATTGAATAGTGCCTAGCAGGATGATTCAAGCTTGACAAAGGGCATACTACAATTGTTTGTGCAAGTCAGAAAGAGGCTTAGAACTGCATCTATTTACAAATCACCAAAACAGCCTTACTTTGAAAATGAAAATGGTTCTGGCATTTTACTACTGAACAAACTAACCTTTTCAAGACAAACTATTGCAGCCAGATTTAGAATTAGGAATTAGGAATTTTACCCTGGCATATGGTCAAGCTCTTAATATTAGTGTTTTATATGGAAGAGGATTGAGAAGAACCAGTGTTATCAAAGTATCTACCACTCAACTAGCTAGTCGGTTGAGAGCCATACTGGGTTTATCATTAACTAGTTGGTTAATAACCATAATGTGGTTGCATGGGATGACTATGCATCAATTATGTTCATTGTGTCAACTAATAAATAATTACCGTAATCGACCTAGATAGCCACAAAATTATCCTAAATCTTTATTTGTCTAGGTTTATCTTAATTCTTTTTGGCAATAAAATGAAATTTATTAAAAGAAAAAATAAAATTACAAGGAAAGTGACCAGAAGTCACACCATAAGAAAAAGAAAAAACACTCCAACTCCCAACCGCACCCTCCAACCAAAAATCAACCATACAAGAAGAAAAACACTAGAATGTAGAAACCAAACTCTTTGACCAGAGAAAAATAGCCAATAATCAACCAAACCCAAGCAACCTAATTCCCATAAATATTTATCTCCCAACAACAAGCTCAAGCAAAAACCAACTTAGGAAAAAACAAAGAAATCAAAACCCCAAAACAAATGTCAAATATCCAACAACCCGACAAGAAGAACAGGCTCTCTCTACTTCTTCTTCTTTAAGACTTTCCTTGATTCCATCACCTTCTTGTTTGGCCCAATCCCAAATAAACCCCCTTTTAATACAGCAAAAACTTTTGCACCAAGACATTTTGATGCTTTATCTTTAAATATTGACCACAATATTGATATGGTTTTATTTTGTTTGTATGCATGCTGGTTGCTTTAAACATTTGTCATGTCATATGGTTGGATACCAATATATAAAATAGAACCAAGGCATCAAATATCAAATAAAATAGAAAATGGAGTTTTTATCTCCTTCCTATCAGTGGGGTGCTAATAATGGAGTTGCCACAAACAAGTATAGTACATCAAATAGTCAGGGATGCACCCTTCATTTGGAAAGAAAACTTTCAGTCTCTATCTCAGCATGTCCAGCATTCATTTTTATGTTTGTAAACAACCACTGTAAGCTCAACTCCTCCATACATTCTTTCATTGCATATGCTTAGTCTATGTTAACTTATATGAGATCATATCAATATCTTAAAGTGAGAAAACATCTTTTTTGTGGTTGACTAATCACTGCATCATCTAGTTAGCTCAAAACAATAAGAGACCATTTGGAGGGCATCAGCTTTGATCAAGCAGCATCGACTGAGCCACTTTGAAGAAGCTACTAAAACTAGCATCAGTGGAAAGTCGATTTCTTAGCTCAATGAAAGAATAAAATGCATAAGAATGTTCAAAAAAGAAAAAGGAAAACTTATAAAAGGCTTGCACCTGGACCAAGGTGCAAGGTGCACCAGGTGTGCACCCTGGTGCACCTTTTGAAAGGGGCTACACCTGGGTTGATGCATGCCTTCTAATGCACTTTGCCTATGTGCCTAAGATTGCATATGGCACCTTTTCAAACACTGAACTATGAAAACCAACTCCTAACCTAAATAGGAAAACTACTGAGTCATAATCAGAAAATAGCAAATAAAAAAATTAAGACAATAATCCTACTACCATAAATACATAAAAATAGGACATATATGGTTCAATAGTTCCTGCATTAGCTATTAGGTTCTCTAAATATATTAATACAAAGATGATTTACTGTTGTTCATTACAAAAACAAAAAAAAAAAAAAATCAAAACTGAAATGAGGAAGAGAAAGAGGGTAAATATTGCACAATTTTGTTGGTAACCGTTAACTTATATTAAAACTAAATAAAAATGAGTTGCAAACAAGGCATGCCCAGCATCCCTCATTGTCACATCTTTAAAGATGGAAAATAAAGAGAACAAAGAAGATCACACTATCACCCACAGTCAACTTCAAACCAAACTTTTATTCCATTAAATCAACTCTTATAATTCAATCACATTGACTCTTTCTGTAGAGTTCCAAGTTAGACTCAAAAACTGACTAAAGATAATTTTTGATTGCTTCAAAGCTAAAACAGACTCATAGTTAACCCATATATAGACACTTAAATAAGAACATAGACATATATAACAACTCTAACTACACATTACTAATACCGCTACAACTAAACAAAAACAATTGTAAGATAGACCCAAAGAAAAAGACTCAAATCCCATCACAGACTAATACCCTATCAATAAAATAGCCATGACTGTCCCAAAATATGCTGCATTTTCAGGACTTTGGTTATAGTTATCTCAATAACCTAAGGATGCTAAAACTATGCAAAACAGACAAGTGCTTTCACAAAAGTGTGCAACCTTTGATATACATCCTGTTACTGATAAAACAATAAGTCTTATTGTAGTAAAGAAGATTGTGTAAGGTCTACCACTTGTCCCTACCAATTTTTAATGAAAACTTTGCTACTCTATTAGTGTGGAGTGTCTCCATAAAACTAGAAATGCAACTCTTCTAGTTCCTTTTGTAGTGAAAGTGCAACTCCACCGAAGTCCCGATTCAAGAAGTGCAATTCCAAGTCTTACTCAATAAAAGACTAATATTTCTCTTCTAATTGTCTTTTAAGTGATACAATATTTTTAATTTTAATTATCAACTCTACTTGATAAGAGCATCTTAGATCCTGAATGTTTCAAATGACGCTTCTGGATTTTGCATAATTGAATTGAACTATGTGAACACTCGAGAAACAGGTTAAAGGATTCAAGTAATTTGGAGACTCAGCATTAACTATAGCCTTTGTTTATAACAGATGTTCTATGACAGATGATAGAGATGATCTCCTCTCCCCAACAAAAACCATGATACTGCCCAAATTGATGATTTCAGAAGTCAAAACACAAACCCGAATTTCTTAAACTCTAAAAGAAGTTCATTCGGTTAAATGAACTATAAACCCTAGATCATAAAGAACGACTAAAAGCAACGCTTGGTAAGCCAGATGAGAGAAATCCTTATTGTTCTTGTAAACCCTAAGCCTAACAGGAGCTCGATCAAAATAACCAGCCAATAACAACTAATGAGATAGAAGGATAAATTACCGATCGAAAAAAAAAAACTGAAAAGACGCAAAATTATTGCAGGATATAAGAATTTCATGAATGATCTCGAAAAGAATGTATATGATTTAGATTAAGAAATTACACCTTCGAATTTGAGAAACCAGAGTAATCTTCGAAGGGTATTGACTCTAGAGGAGAAGTTCGTCCAACACGCTTTGCGATGGGTGGGTGAGAAAAATGGAGCGGGACATGGCAGGGCAGGTGGGTTCTATTTTCGCTCTTTTTTGGCGAGGTTGGGGAGTAGAGTGTAATTTGGGCACATCCCCAGAAAGTGTCAACTGTAAACCCACCAACTAGTACGGTTTTAAAGACAAAACAAATGCCCCCCATATAATGAAATTTTTGACTGGAGAAGGGTCATAAAAATTTTTTTACGCCCAAAGTATTGTTGGGTGGGTGACAGATCGAAATGATGCCAATTCGTGGGCAGACATTGGTGCATAGAATGTAGGTATTTTACATTTTGAATATTTATAGATTTGAAGTGAAATTGAGAAATCTGCAATAGGCGTGTAGATACTTTTTCGATTTTTTTATCCTTTTACTATACATTTTTTTAAGGGGGGAAAGGAAATGTTAAAGTCTTTTCGTGGTGACATGTCCCATAAATTGGAAGTGCTCAATTCATTTTCTATGCGCAGGAAGCTTTATTTTATTGTCACCTTTTTTAGGATGTGGTGTTTAATGGCATTATGTGTTCTAAACGTCCTCATTAATTGCTTTTCTCGGTTTTGCAGTCACATAAATATAAAATATTATAAACGGAATCAAACACATAATAAAAGAATGGGTAATTATCCAAAATCCGCCATCACTTTTTATGAATTTTTTTAAACTCACTGTAACTTTTCAAAACGTCCAATTATTAATTTACTATTTTACCCTTCATTATATTCAGTCCATTTTGCAATATATCAAAATTACCCTTATCATTCTTCAACCCAAAACCCTAACAGAGAGAGCATTGGCCGCTACTTTCTTCCTCCATCGGCCGCTGCTTCTCCCTTCGTCTGAGAACTTGAATAAGAACAAGATGTGTCTCCCATCAATGACTAACGGACAGGATATTCTCTTATAAAGTTTTAGACAATCCATTGGCTACTACTTCTTCCTCCATACGCATTCGATACTCGTCAAGACTGTTCCCATCGTCTGAGAAGAATAACAGTCGGTGAAATCCCCATATTTAAATAATTATACCTTGTAATATCCCACATTGAAGATTGCCATCCCCGTTTTTACATCGTCATCTTGAGATATCCTCAATCCTTCTTTACTTCTTCTGTGGCTGAAATCTTTCTTTTCTATCTTCTCTAAAACAATATCCAAAGAAGAATCAAACACGACCAAAGCAACACCCCTCTCATCTAGTCGATTGAGCAGCTCTGGCCTGAAATGTCTTCTAACCTGCAACTCATCAAAATAGGAAATTTGGTCACAATATGTCCCAACTCCCATCAAAAGTTCATGCATTACAATTTTGAATTTAATCCCCAAAACCACTCATCAACCACAAGAACTTGTTACATACCAGTAATGTAACGACTAGAGAGCTGAGCAACAACCACAAGAGCTCTGTCTTGAATTCAAGCACCATGGTGACCTTCACACCTCTCTTTCAATCCTCGAATAATGCTGATTGTGTGTGCAACACTGGGCTCTGCAACATAAACTTGCTGGAATCGTCTCCCAAAAGCATCATCCTTCTCAACATATTTCTTGTACTCTTCAAGAGTAGTTGCACCAATGCACCTCAGCTGGCCTCTGGTAAGCATTGGCTTGAACAAATTAGCTGCACCCATGGAACCCTCAGTTCGACCAGCTCCAAGAACCAGATGGATCTCATCAATGAGGAGAATTACTTCCCCTTTAGCCTCTTCTACCTCTTTCAATACAGCTTTCAACCTCTCCTCAAATTCTCCTCTGTATTTGGCTCCAGCCACAAGGGCACCCATATCCAAAGCGATTAGTCTCACATCTAAAAGATTGCTTGGGACATCTCCTCTGACGATTCTCTGAGCCAGCCCTTCCACCAAAACGTCTTACCCACACCAGTCTCTCCAATCAAAACTGGATTGTTCTTTGTTCTTCTAGAGAGAATCCTTACCACTCTTCGAATCTCTTTGTCTCTACCAATGTCACGACCATAAGTCTTCAATGCCTGAAAATTGGTGTTGCTGAAAGCACTTTCAACCTTCCTTCCTTCCTCCCCTCGAAGCTTCTCAACCTCTGATTTCACTCTTGCCGCACTAACCCCAGCCTCCTTGAGGAGATCTCTGATTTGGGAATGCTCAAGAAGACCAAGAACCAATTGATCAACGACAAGATGAGTATGGCCGCGAGATTTCTACGACGATTGGGCTCACCTGATTACCTTAATCAAAGAAGTGCTTGTAGGGATTTCATCCGGGGCAGGATGCTGAGACGAAATTTTCTTCATGGCTTGATTGAGGACTGGTTAGGAGTTTGCGGCCTCTTGTCCACCACCAGCATTGGCGACTGCTTGCCGGAGGATGCCATTTGGGTCAGTTATCAATGCGATGGCCTTGTGAATTGGAGTAAATTGTGCATGGCCAAAGTTCATTGCCAGTTCATGAGCCCCAACAATGGCCTCCCTCATTTGTTTTGTGAGTGAACTTGTTTAACAAGCAGGTGTTGAAAAGATGAAGTAACAAGAAAAGATAAGGTAGAAGAATTATAGCTGAGTTTTGGAAGTTTTGAAAAGTTATGGTGAGTTTAAGAGAATTCATAAAAAGTGATGATGGGTTTTAAACAATTTCCTTAAAAAAAAAAATTAGTTTCTCTAACTATTAATCTTTTAGGTAAATTACAAATATCCCCTTATATTATAGGGTCATTGGCAATACCCTTTACACTTTTTTTTGTAACAAAGACCCCCCTAACCTTTAAGTTGTGATAAATACCCTCTTAGCCATTAATGCAGACAACATAAGGCATTAAATTATCAAAATACCTCGCTAAACTTTCTTTATTTTTTTCTTGTCATTTTCTCTTAAAAATACCTTTAATTATTGCTAGAAAAAGAAAAAAAAAATCTGCCTTTCTCACAAGTGATCATCGTTAAAAAAGGAAAAATTCTCCAACAAATTCATTGGTGACGTTCTCTCTCTCGACCAGGAAAAGATGCCATACACACATCACACAGAATGCAGCGAGTGTAGTGCGTAACGTCTCACGACTCATGCGATAAATGTTGAAGCCTGCGAGTTGTCTTATTTTTGGAGTTCATATTTCCTGCACTTGGTTACATGTGTGCTGAGGTGCAATTCCAATCAAATTGGGACAGGTCAGAATTGTAATGGCATCTCAGGTCACATGTGTAAGTCATTTGAACGGACCCGTCAATATCTCATTTTTTTCCAAATTAAAAAGTAAAAAAGAAAGAAAGAGTAAAATAGAATAATAGATACTTTGACCTCCGCTAAGTTCGAGATACGGTAAAGACTAAAGAAGAAAAATACAGAAGACTGTTACAGACCAAACCCTTCTAGGGTGGATGCCATTAACAATGATTGCAGGGGAAAAATTTCTGATGTTGAAATGTTTATACTACCATATTAAACTTAGTCAAGGTTCAGTGTCTTTTATTCCGCAAATGAGAACATAAGCTTGCTGTTTTGATGACTTTAGTGTATGCTATATTCAATTGATTGAGGTAAAGATTCAGAAGTCTTGAAGTTGAGATAAGTTCAAGAGCAGAAATTAATAAACGTTAATTACTCTATAAAAAGGAAGCCATTACTGAATCAAATTTAAAATGAGCTGCAGGCGTTTTAAAGAAAGCAGAGTACTCAAGTGAAGAAGAAACGATGGGCACTTGAAACAATTACTTGCAAATGACTTCCACCCTTATTTGGTCTGCAATCGTTTGTTAATGCACCAGGTTAGAAGCGGCTTGGTTTGCAACAGTTTTCTTTGTACTCTTCAGTCAAGATTTCATATGCTTCACAAATTTCTTGAGAGTTTTCTATAACAATGTCTTCACCTGTGGAAGTCGGCATTTATGGAGTTATAGATTTGTGCCCAGTGACAATAAACTTTTCTAATTTCTTCATCTTTCTGGAGATATGTGAAATAGAGCGTATAGCCCTTTCTATTTGGAGTTCCCATTTCTTCTACTTTAATTCTATGTTCAACAAAGAAAAGGGGATTAGGGTTTTACAGACGACATTAAAATTTGCGATGGAATATAGTCTTGTGGTTAAAGTTTTCACTTTTCCTTTTATTTTTTAAGTAATAAAAAGCAAAACTAACAGATTTAAAGTAAATGACTCGCATATCTGAGTTAGAGTTGTATACAAATTCATTTCGAATTCCGTACTCAGATTATTTCGATTTTGTGATTATATAATATAATGATATGACAAATGGAAAAAAAATTAAAAAAGCCCAAGTCATGAGATTCACATCCTTGGTCTTTCCAATTCAAGGAAATGTTTAATATAGCTCTGGTACATGTCTTGTTTGTTAAGACTTCCGATCAAGATGCCTGTCAACTGGAGCATGTTAACAATCAAGAGCTGACATGTGATTCAGTGACTCGGTTTCAAACAAATTATATGACCATAATTGAGGGGTATTTTTGGAACAAAAATCGTTGGAGTATTGCCCTTATATATATATATATATATATATATATATATATATATATTTTGATATGTCACTTTACCGTTTCAGACAGGAATGCAAATGCTTGTAACAATTTTCAAAATAAGTGGATGAAAATTATGGGGGTGTCTTAGTAATAGGCAAACCATAGGGGGTGTTTTAGTAATTGTGTGAAACTACAGGGGTGCCTAAGTAAATGACCCAAAAAATTATTTTGCCTAAAAACTCATTTGACAGCATGGAGGATGTTTGGTTCCCTTGGCAGTTATTGAAAAAAATGCTACCACATTGCTATATGGGCATTTGTATTTATTGCATATGAAATCAAACATCATTTATCAAATAATCACTAAGAAATAGAAATACTTGGTTTTTTGTGCATAGGGCATTTGGGAAAACGTCAAATTTTTGTTTTCCCTAACCATTCAACATTTTTTAAAATAAAATGTTGATGTAGCATGTTTTTATGGGTGTAATGCTGATGTAGCATACTTTTATGGGTGTTAATTTGATGTAAAAAGCAATAAACATTTAAAGTAATGCCCATCAAACAAAAAGAAAACAATAAATGTAGATAGTACAGATAGACATTTAAAGTAATAAATGGCCTCTCTAGGAACTCCAATGGAACCAAACATATACAT